GGATGTTTTGGCCAGAGATTGGGGGTAGAATCCCTTTAGAGTGGCAGTTGTAAAACACAGAGCTGCATCGTCTGCAGGGCAGACTCTCAGCCTTGGCCAAAAGATGGTCCCAGAACTGGCTTCCATGTAACTGCTGAATATATTTTCTTGTTATACCTTATCTATTTTAAGATTGCTCGAGACTTCAATCCCAACTGGATGAGTGCTGTTGAAATCTTGGATGATGACAATTTCCTGGGGGCTGAAAATGCCTTTAACTTGTTTGTGTGTCAGAAGGATAGGTGAGTGGCGGCTTTGGGAATAGTGTGGAGGAGGAGGCATCCCTGGGTCTGGTGATGCGTCCTCTTTCAGGTGATTGGGTGCTCTTTCAGGCATCGATGCTCCTCTTCACGAGGTAGAATTCTTTCACAAGGGAATCAAAGCCACAACAGGCAGCCTCTCAGACAGGCTCTGCCACTGTGAACTCACCAGAGAGGCTGAGCACACAGTGTCCACTGGTGGGGACAGGAGGTGCAGGGAATGAGTTTCTCCCACTGCCTTTCAGTGCTGCCACCACTGATGAGGAGCGGCAACACCTCCAGGAGGTCGGTCTCTTCCATCTGGGTGAATTTGTCAACGTCTTTTGCCATGGCTCTCTGGTCATGCAGAATCTGGGCGAGACTTCCACTCCTACACAGGGCTCGGTGCTCTTTGGCACAGTCAATGGCATGATTGGTAAGGCTAGCCCCTGCAGGGTGCACTCCCACACGGGCCCCTTTTCTAGGGCCTCACCATTCTGAGGGGTGAGGAAGAGCAGTTGGACACCACCTAGGAGTTCACTAGCAGAGGCTGCCACAAGGTCGTCCTTCCTCGTGCTGCTTTCCTGGGCTGCCCTTGGTAGAAGATGCTTGCTGTGGGCTCTGCATGTTCTGTAGCTCCCGGCTCCCTTTGCTTCTTCAGGGCTGGTGACCTCGCTGTCAGAGAGCTGGTACAACCTCCTGTTGGATATGCAGAATCGACTCAATAAAGTCATCAAGAGTGTGGGCAAGATTGAGCACTCCTTATATCCTTCCCAGAGGCATGTCCCAGCACAGGTAGACTGACGCATCATCCTAAGCTGCTTCTGGAAACTGCTATCCACTTAGGAAATGTATTTGGTTCTGTTTTTTTAATAGAGTTTTCTCATGGAAAAATTCAAAGACTAGTAGAAGAGAAAATAGTATAGTGAATCCCCATGTACTACCATCCAGTTTACCTGGTTCATCTTGGAAATACATATTTGTGTTCTTGAAATATATCTGCTTTTGGTCTTTCTGGCCTTACATGTCAAATAGGCAGTTTAGATGACTTCTTTAGGAGCATACTTCGGGAGATGTTGGGGACAGCAGTATCTGAGAATCCTCATGAGAGAGGGGGAAGACTGAAGTGGAAGAAGGGGAAGACTGAAGAAGCTGGAAACTTCCGGAAGCCCAGGGATCAGCCCCCTCGGGACACTCAGGATCCAAGTATTGCTGGACATTTTTTCGTTCCAGGAGATGGAAAAGGTCCTCTCCAAGCAGGAGGTGGGAGGGCTCCTGCTCTAGCCTGGGAGGGAGGTGATGGACTGATGGCATGCCTCTTGTCTCACTAAGCCTCAGTTTATTCATCTGTGAAGATCCAGGCTAGACTTAAGAGCATGGTTCTTCCCGATGTGCATGTCTGATTACCTGGAGCGCTTGTAGAAAATGTCCACATATGTCCAGGCTTTGTGCTAAGGAGGGTCTCATCTGTAGCTTTAAAAACATTAACAGTTGAGAAACCTTAGTTTGGATAATAATTTTACCTAATGTCTTTTAGTTCCAAAACTGTCCAAAAAGCAATGTGATTTTTGAAAATGTTTCCTGTTCTCATCTGATGATTGCTGTAGATTGTGGTCTTTGCAGAGGTGGGGGTGACCGAGAGTAAGGCTATTTGCAGATCTCACACATTCCTTAACTCCCCCGTCCACCTGGAGATCCTTTCATACTGAGCGAAAAACAGAACCAGCCACAGGCTTCATTGATGGAGACTTGATTGAGAGTTTCCTGGACATCAGCCGGCCCAAGATGCAGGAGGTTGTGGCAAACCTGCAGGTGAGTTGTGTGGCACTTGGCCCTGCACCTGTGACGCCTGTGACACAAGTCCATGGCAAGGCCGGGCGTGCTGGAGGGTCTCAGAACACTGGGGCCTCCTGCCTTGATCCTTAAATGCTGGTGGCCCTTTCTAAGTTGTTTCCTTCCCCTGTGGGAAGGTGGAGTCTGAGGGCAAAGGAATGTAGCCGAGGGTCATGGCACTGTACTAGGAACTTTACGCATGTGACCTCTGTGCTGGAGCAGCAAGGGCATGTTCAGGCATGTGCGGGATCTCTGGCAACTCACAGATGGGAGGCTCTTGGATCAGGTCAGGATCCTGCAGGGAAGAGAAATTTCCACAATGTGGAGTTTTGGGATATTGCTAACTGGAGATGGTGCCTCTGGGGAACATCCTGGGAGGGGGAGAAATGTATGCCAGATGGTAGCCTCTGAGCCAGCTTTGCTGTCAGTAAGTAGGTCTTGCTGACTTGAACCTTTCAGAAGAGGGGTATGGGTTTCTGAAGAGACCTTCCTCCTTGCCGTGGCATTGGAGCTAGGTGCCTCTTCCTGACTGTCCCCTTTCCCTGGGGAGGAAAGAGTAGCCTTGTGGCCCTCACAGCACTCCCCTTTCCCCCTTGCAGTACGATGATGGCAGCGGGATGAAGCGAGAGGCCACTGCAGACGACCTGATCAAAGTTGTGGAGGAACTGACACGGATCCATTAGCCCAGGGCTGGGATCCCCTATCCAGGCCCTTCCCGAAGGCTTTGCTCTCTGCCCTGCTCCCCTCCCCCACCATTGTCTTCTTGGCCATGGGAAACCTTTCCCTGAGCCAGCTGTCCCAGAAGCCACAGTACCTGTGTGGAAATGGGGATTTCTTTGAACTAAAACCAGTTCACTGGAGACCTGGGAATGGGGTGAAGGTGGAATATTTTCTCCCTGGATTTTTACCAGTCTCAGAGGATTCCAACCATCACTTTGGACCACCGAGTCTTGATTGGTGTTGCCAGTTGTCCTCCTTCCAGGGAGGGATTTTGCAGCTCTTGGGCTGAAAGGAAGCTGTGTGTGTGTGTGTGTGTGTGTGTGTGCGCGTGCGTGCGTGTGTGTGTGTGTGTGTGTGGTGTGTATCTCACACTCATGTTGTCCTCTGCTATCTTTTTATTTAGATTGGGGGTGCAGGGAGGCTGTGGGTAAGGGAAGAGGGGGCGGGACGGGTTCATTGTCTCTGAAGTGAGAGCTTCCTTTTGCTTTCTGTCTTGCCTGAGAACTTTGGGTCTGGAGGCCTGACCACCAGGCCATGAGCTGCCCGAGTCTGAAACCTGAAGATGGTGGGTGATACCCAAGCCGCCACAGCCTTTTTGTCTCTGGGGAACTGCCTTCTTCAGGGGGAAGGAGGTGGGGACGGTGAATTGGTTGTTAGTTTCTGAGTTTTACCAAATAAAGTAGAATCTAAGAAGAAAGATCCATTTGCTTCCACTTTCCTTCTTGCTGCCCAACTCCCCAGCATCCCAGTCACACAACGCCTAATTCAGGGCACCATTGTCTCCCTCCTTTAGGGCAGTGGCTGCAAGGCACTTTGCTGCCACAACAGCTCCTCTTGAGTAGTGAAATGACCTCTGTGTCACCTTTGCCACGTAATCATTTTTGGTGAGATCCCAGGGGTAATTTTTAAAATTCAGTGGTCTTTGGTTGCTGTTGACTCTAGCCACCATGTGATTCCCAGTTGCCTCTGTTAGTAACCTGGCGAGCCTTGGAGTTGCCTGGGCTGCTTTTCCTTATGTCATTTTAGGTGTGAATACAATGTCTGGCCAACTAGCTCCCAGGCGCTGCTCCTTGGCTGGGGCAAGTAGCTCTTCATGCATCTCTCAGCTTCCTGTTGCCACATGCCCTTTGGAGTCTGATTTTATTTCCTCTGGTTTAATCAAGTAAACCTTTGGCGCCTTTGGTTTGAAAATACAGGAGTAGGACACATTTGGGGTTCACCCTTCTCTACAGCAAACAGAGCCTGTCTTCTTTCAGCTCAGTGGGTCAGAGTGCCTGCACCCACATTTCCACCAGTGATCCAGTGGGAATAAAGGCTGCTCTGTCCCAACAGCGGAGAGTAGGGTTGATCCTAGGCATATTGGCAGGCTCCTTTAAAATCAGCCTTTGATACAGTGTCAGGAAAATTGTGGTTTCAAGTTCAAACTGTGCTTTTGAGAGATTCTAGCTTAAAGGAGAAAGGGCAAGGAAGCATCTCTGCTTTGGGGGTCTTCTGGAATAAGCTTCCTTCCTTAGAAGCGTTCCTTGTATTTATTTTATTTTTTATTCCTTGTGTTTCATTACTGTTCTTTCCCCCTTTTCTGGAATTTCTGAGGGTGGGAGCTAAGGGTCTTAAGGGGAAAAAATCATCAGCATCTCTCAAAAACCACAGTTTGAACTTGAAACTCAATACTGTGATTTGAATTCTTCAAGTCATGGTTTGAATTGAAAAGGCTTGCCCCCATGCCAGAGACCAACTTTAATGAGGCAGCAAAGCAACGAACAGTCTCCAGATTGTGATTATTTTAAAATGTTAATCCTAGTTGGAGGATTGAATATAAGGTGCTAAGATCAGAAAGAGCATGTGGTAGGATGATTATTCTGGTGCTTTTTTGTGGTCCGACCTGCAGCATGGAGACCTCAGTGAGTAGAAGGTTATTACTATCCGTGGCTTCAGTCTGGGCTTTGGGAGCCATAGAGTCCTTGCAGTTTGTTTGTTTCCTATAATCTTGAGTATATTCAGTCAGGATTGAATTCCAGCAATCCTTTGGAAACTAACATTCTGCCACATTCCCACATCCTCTCTTAAAAACCGTTAATCACCTCTCCAGGGGTGAAAGGTTGCCTTTGGAGCTTTGCTACAGCCAGCTGGAATGGCTCCTTTCCATGTAGGCGCTGATGAGCTACTCACTCCAGGCCTCTGCACAAGTGGACCTTTGGGAGAATAATAGAAACACTGACTCATCACATGACCATTTGGAAGGGTCACAAGCCAGAGGCCTCCTTTCTACAGCCAACAACAACTTGGATCCTCCGCCCTCAGCGGAGGGTCCCTTTTGTTATGGAGAAGCCACAGGCCACAGAAGCGGGGAAGAAACACGGAGGAACTATATATAACCAGGGGATATGCCTAAACTAGTTCTTGAAGATGAATAATATTAAGTCAGATGCTGTCAGAGTTCAAACTCTGAGAAGCCTCAAGGTCTAACAAACCAAAAGCCAAGAAAAAGAAAGCAAACAGCAAGCAAAAGAAGCAAACTGATGGTAAGAGGAGCAAGGTGAGTGCCATCAGGTCAAAATGAACCAGAGAAAGGAAAGAAATGCCAGAGACTATTTAGAAAGTTGTTTTGTTGTTTTTTTTTTTTTTTTTTAAATTGACCAGTAGAAATTTACTAAGTCTTAAATACCCTGAGCTCCTCTTGAGGGGAAAATGAGGATTTTCTTCAAGCACAGAGCTGCATCTCAACTATCCAGGTGCTCACTGGCCAGTGTGGAGCAAACCCTGCCATAGTTCTGGGGTGAGCCAGAAGACGGGACTGGAGGCCGTGGCAGAGAGTTGTGGAGTTCAGGGAGGAGGTAGCTGGGGTGTGTTGGAGTGTGTGAAAAGATGGTGCAAGGTGTGACAGGTGTGTAAAAGGGACTTTTAGTCCTGTGTAATTGTGTTGAGCATTTGTGGGTAGCTTCCAGGATTGGGAAGGAGCACCTGTTTGACACTGAGTGGTGGCCTAGGTAGGTATAATAAAGGCACTGGTGTGGTAGATTTCGTGGGCTCAAGTGAAGGAAGGCCTTTATGTTTAGCCCTATTCTTGAATAATTCAGGCTTAGATTAAGTAACAGCGAGGAATGCGGTATGAATGGTGCAGAGAGAAAGCGCACCTTTGGATGTCTGAGGCAAAAAGCAAAGTTGCTGTAGGATCCTGAGGGTCCTTAGGACTCAGGATGGACATTTTTTTGGGGGGGGGATTTTGATTTATTCTTGAGAGACACAGGCAGAGAGAAGCAGGCTCCATGCAGGGAGCCTGATGTGGGACTTGATTCCGGGACTCCAGGATCACGTGAACCCTGGGCCGAAGGCAGGTGCTAAACCGCTGAGCCATCCAGAGATCCCTTGGGATGAACATTAATATGAAAGTTGCACTCATCTTACAATACAGAATATTTTGGTGACCTAGTTGCTGAGAATTTGTTGCTTAGATTTGAAGATGGATCAAGACTAACAAGGTGAGGGCAGCCCGTTTGGCTCAGTGGTTTAGCGCCACCTTTAGCCCAGGGCGTGATCCTGAAGACCCGGGATTGAGACCCACGTCAGGCTCCCTGCACGGAGCCTGCTTCTCCCTCTGCCTGTGTCTCTGCCTCTCTCTCTCTCTCTCTCTCTCTCTCCCTCCCCCTCTCTCCCCCTCCCTGTGTTTCTCATGAATGAATAAATAAAAATCTTCAAAAAAAAAAAAAAAGACTAACAAGGTGAGATAATGGGCCTAAATCTGAACATCTGGGAAAACTCAAGTGCACAGGTTCATGTAGGGAGATTGGTTTAGCAGCTTGAGTTCAGGAAACAAGAGTAACAACGTGAAAGCAGGACAGCCAGAAACACCAGTAATGGAAACCGCTATGAACCACCAGCATCATATGGTTGCCGGAAAAGCCAAGTCCTATTAGGCTGTGTTAATAAAAATTTGGTATCTGCAAGGAATGGAAGGAGACAAAAGTCCAGACCATTGTTGGTACACCGTGGTCATTTGTGGTCACCAGTGTTAAGGATCTCAGTGACAGCTTAAGGTAGCCAGTGGGTGGGCAGCTGCAGAGGCAGAACCAAAGGAACTGGAATTATTTAGCTGGGAAATAAAGCACTTCCTAACAAATGTAGTTACTCAAAACTGGCTTGGGCTACCTTTTGACAGGTGAGTTCCTTATCCTTGGAAGTGTTCAAGCAAAAGCTTGACTCACGGGATCTGGGTGGCTAGGGAGGATTCCTGCACAAGGCAGAGGATACAGTGTGGGTATCCTTCCTGCTTCCTCCCAGCTGGACGGTCCGATTTCCCTCCACTGCCTGCTCCCCACTTCCCCGCCTACCAGTCTCTGGTTGCAGCCTGGGCAGCTACAGAGGGGAGCAAAGAGGAGCCTCTGGGTTGAAGCCTCGCTAGTGTCCTCTGGCCAGGGCGCAGGTGGATCCATGACCCGCACACCCTGGACCAGTGTGCGGACCTGCCGGCAGGCGGGAAGCCGGCCTTGAACTGCCCCGCAGCGGAATGACCCAGCGTTTCACCTCCTCGGGACAACCGTGGCAACTCGGGCTCCCCCGAGGCCAGCCGAGCCCCGGCGCCCGGCCTCCAGCGCCAGCCTTGCTCGGGGAGTCTTTCCTCCGCGGCCCTCGGTCGGACGCCCACAACCCTTCGCAGGAAGCCGACTCCAGAGCCCGGGCCGGGGGTGTGGGCCGAGGCCGAAGCCCCGCCCCCAGGGGTCCCTGATCTTTGCCCCCGCCCCGGGCTCCGCGCCTCCTCGAGAGGCCACCGCCCGGCGAGCGGCGCTGCCTTCGTGCGCCTCGCTCCGAGGTGCCAGGGACCCCCGGCCCCGGCCCCGGCCCCTCCTGCCCGAGCCCCGGCGCCCCGCTCGGCCCTGCGCGCCAGCTCCGGGCTCTCCGGCGCGCTCCCCCGGCGCCAGGAGGAGGGGCGAGGGCCGGCCGCCCCCTCCCCCCGCGCGGCGCCCGAGCCCAGCCGAGCGGGGACCCGCCGCCGCCGGTCATGTGGGCCGGACTGATCCTCCGCGCCGCCTGCGTCGCGCTGCTCCTGCCGGGGGCCCCGGCCCGCAGCCACAGCGGGAGGAAGCCGCCCGGGCATTTCGCGGCCGAGAGGTAAGCGCCTCGCGCCCGGCCCCTGTCCCGCCGCGGGGCGCTCCCGGCGTGGGGCCGACCGGTGCTCGGGCAGCCGCGGGGGCGGCGCTCCGGGCGGTGCGGACAAAGGGGCAGCGGTCGGCGCCCCGGGCGGGGGCTGTCCCGGCAGGAAGGGGGCAGGGGCGGCGGGGCCCAGGCGCCGGCCGAGCCCCCCGAGCTTGCCCCGCGGCGCCGACCGCTGGGAGGGCGCCCCGGGGAGGGCCGTCGTGGCGAGCGGGCCCCCTGCTCCCGCGTCCCGGCTGCACGCTCGCCGCGGACCTTGAACCGCCCGCCCGGCTCCCCGCGGGGCACGTCTGGGTTTCCGCCCGCCCGCGCGCGGGCGGGGGCGGTGTTTGCCCCTTGGCTCCCTCCGGGTTGGTGCCGCGCTGCCCTAGAGCCTCCTCCCGCCGCGGGCCGAGCGCGAGCTTGCGTGACGCTCCGAGCGACCGAACGCGGCCGCCCCCGGGCTCGCGGCTCCCACGTGCGCTCCGCAGCCCCCGCCGGCCCCTGCCCGGATGGGCCCCGCGCCGTGGCGCCCCGCGGCGTTCCAGCCGCCCGCCTCCCGTCCCCGTCTCCGTCCCCGTCGCCGTCCCCGTCCCCGTCCCCGTCGCCGTCGCCGTCCCCGTCGCCGTCCCCGTCGCCGTCCCCGTCCCCGTCGCCGTCCCCGTCCCAGTCGCCGTCGCCGTCCCCGTCGCCGTCCCCGTCGCCGCCCGCCGCGTTGGTGGCACCCGCCCCCTTCAGAGCCCCGCCCCAGGAGCAGGACCGCCGGGTCCTCTGCCAGCTGCTGCCAGAATCGCTCTAGCAAGGGCAGTGGGCGGGACAGCTCGGCCGGGAACACCTCCCACCCCCCCGGGCGGCTTCTTTGCTTCTGTGAGGACTTCAGAGAAGGGAGAGGCTCTTAGGGGCCCGGGCGCGGTTTGCTGCGGAGGCGCCATACCGCGCTGTGCCCAAAGTTCCCCTGCCCAGAGCGCTTGTCGCGTCCGACAGCTCTTCTCCCGGAGCGCAGTGAAGGCCTTTGCCATCCATGTCAGTGGGTGCCTGCTGCGGCACCTGGCCCCAGACGGGCGCTCTGTAGAGGCTGCCTGGCAGGGCAACAGCCTCTGGGCAGGGCTAGAGTGCAGTTGGGGAGGGTTTTCCTCTCCCCTTGTGCCAGGATTCCCAGTTAAAACCCGGCTGGACTCCCCCTCTCTGCCCAGCCCATCACAGAACCAGTTGCAGTCCCCACCGGTCCCCTCCAGGACGAGCACCTGCTCCCTCTGCCTCCAGCACCCTCCCCCTTCCTCCACTCTCATGGCTTGCCCTGACTCCTCTTGCCCATCTCATCCCAGATTCCGTCCTTCCAGAAAACCTCCCCTGGCCCTCCTCAGGACTCCAAAGCCTGTCCCATTGTGGCACCAGTCACGCTGTTTTGTTATCACCTGGTTCTTCATCTGCCCAGCGTCCCTTCAGGGTAGGGAGGCCTGTTCATGGCTGTACTGCCAGGCCTCACCCAGTGTCAGGCAAACTGGCTCCCCTTTCCTGGCACCCTCACCTCCACCCCAGAGATGTCACCTGGAGAATGCTATCTCTGGGGCTGCCTTCCTCCTCTGTCTCTTCTCCTGGCTTCCTTTCTCAGCCTTTCCCTCCACACCCATCTAGTGAGCACCTACTATGTGTCAGGCATTCCTCTTGACACTGAAGTGGACCAAAGAGATGAAGCCCTGGTCCTCAGAGAATGAGAGGGGAGACAGACAATGAATGAATCAACAAATTGATAAGTACTTGAATGTCCCAGGAAGTACTTCTTCTTATGGAGAAGAATAAAGCAAGATAAGGGTGGGTAAGATAGATCTCTCTGAGAAGGTGCATGAGCAGAGAGACCCAGGTAAAAGAGCGAGTGACCTGGATTCCTTCCTCCCTCCCTCCCTCCCTCCCTCCCTCCCTCCCTCCCTCCCTCCCTCCCTCCCCTCCCTTCCTTCCTTCCTTCCTTCCTTCCTTCCTTCCTTTTTAAGATTTTATTTATCTATTCATGAGAGACACAGAGAGAGAAAGAGGCACAGACACAAGCAGAGGGAGGAGCAGGCTCCCTGTGGGGAGCCAGATGTGGGACTTGATCCTAGGACCTGGGATCATGCCCTGAGCCAAAGGCAGCTGCTCAACCACTGAGCTGGGTGCCCTGAGCTGGGTACATTTCTGAGGAAGAACCTTCCTGATAGAGGGAACTGCTGCTCTGTGTTCATGTGGTGTCTGTAGGAAGCTGGTGGCTCTTCTCTGCTACCTTTGTCTTTGTCTTGCCTTCAGGAGAGACCATCTGGCTCATTTTGGCAGGGGGAGAGGGGTACTTCCCATTCCTCCTCTGGCAGGTTTCAAGAACTGTTGACTGACTTACTGACTAGCTGGGAGGCTTTCACTGCATGGCAGACCAATCCCTCAGCCAGCACAGAAATATGGAAAGTGCTCTCTCCTCTCTCGTAGACGCCGGCTGGGCCCCCACGTCTGCCTCTCAGGCTTCGGGAGTGGCTGCTGCCCTGGCTGGGCACCCTCCATGGGCAGTGGGCACTGTACCCTTCGTAAGTGCCTGCCCCTGTGCCCCAGACATCCTCCACAGCAGGGTGCTCACTCCCTGGGCTGGCCTATATAGGGCAGATTGGGGTCCCCGGCCCCCCACTCCCTCACCTGCGTTTCTCCTCTCAGCCCTCTGCTCCTTTGGCTGTGGGAGTGGCATCTGCATTGCTCCCAATGTCTGTTCCTGCCAGGATGGAGAGCAAGGAGCCACCTGCCCAGGTAACTGGGGGTGGGCCGTGGCTGGTGGGAAATACTCTTTTGACACTGAGACTATGTTCCAGGCTCAGGGCTTTTGTTTCAGAGTATCATCTTCCAACAACCCACTTGGTAGGCCTTCTCATCTCCATTTTACAGATGAGGAAACTGAGGCACAGAAGTTAGTGGCTCACCTAGGGTTACATGGCTAGCAAGTGGCACAGCTGGATTTAAGTTCCAGTCTTTCCCTCTAGAGCCACCTTACCAACAGAATTTAGGAGGAGCCCCGGTGAGGTGGGGGCAACTGGCACTGCGGTAAGGGTGTGTGCTCATGGATGTGATCCATTTTAGAAGTCCATGGACCCTGTGGCGAGTATGGCTGTGACCTTACCTGTAACCATGGCGGCTGTCAGGAGGTGGCCCGAGTGTGCCCTGTGGGCTTCTCCATGACAGAGACAGCTGTCGGCATCAGGTGTACAGGTGAGAGACCTGGGCATGGTGTGGGTTGCAAGGCGAATGGGCATCCTGTCTCATCTTCCATCCCTCCCACCAGTACAGCCTCCAGAGAGATGCCAGGCCAGGCTGAGCGAGGCCGAGCTCTGGTTGGAGTGTGGGCAGGGAGGCAGGCCAACACAAGAAACAGGTCTCTTCTGCTATGAGCCAGGAATGGAGCTAGGGGCTGGGGTGACGAGTGGTGGCTTGGTTCCTGCTGTTGTCCATCCCTGCTCCTGAACAGGCGAGGGGAGACAAGTCAGGATAACCACATAATGGGGCCGTAACCAGTGAAGTGCGGGGAGCCAGACCCACAGAGGAGTAGGGAACCAGGACTTGGAGACCGGGCTGACCACGGAACGTTCCCTCGGGACCCTGGTATTTGAAAGACCAGAAAAGCCAACCTCAATAATTATTTTGTAACAGTGCTATTTGTTTGTGATTTTAAAAGCGTTCTCACAGGCAGATCTGTTGCCTTCTCAGAGGCAACCACTGGGACCAGTTTTTTGAGTATCTTTCCAGAGAGCTGAAAGAAAGCCTTTCTTTTTCTTTTCTTTTTTTTTTTTTTTTTTTGAGTTTTGACTTTGTATAAATAATGTTTCTTCCCCAAATATGAAAGTAAAAAATAACTTACTTTGGAACATTTGGAAAGTATAAAAGAAGGGTAGAAGGTAAAAACAGACATATCCCCAAAGCCCCTACTCAGAGATACTTTACTAAAATGAAGTCGTTTCTTTTGCTTTTTTCCCTGGATGTATATGTGTTTGTGAGTGTGTGCACCTGTGTGTGTTTGTGTATGCACGTGTGTGTGTGTGTGTGTGTGTATGAAGCGTGTATATCTGTGTGTTTCATAAATTGGAATTATACCTTATGTAAAGTTTTTGTTCATCCTTTTTCTCACTTTATATTGTGGGTGGGGAACAGTCCTCACAACGTAATTTTTAGCGGCCGTGTCTGTGGTTGCTGTAACTTGCTGTCCATTGTGTAGGTTCTCTGCGATGCTTCACTACGACAAGTAATGCTGCAGTAAAGAGGCTTTTCATGGGCCTCTCCCATTATTCCCAGAAGGAGAACCACTGGGTCAAGGGTCTCACTAAGGAGTTTTAGTGCTCGGGGCGCATTGCCACATCCTCTTCGGGAAGGCTGAAGCAGTAATCCTCCCATGAATGTGTTTTCTAGGGAGCACTTTCTGCACGCACTTCTTGTTGCAGAGGCAAACTGGACCTGGAAGAGCCAGAGAATGATGTCAAAGTTAGCACCAGGCAGGAGCGGGGGTGGGGGACACTGGCCACTATCACAAGGGATGCCAGTGAGATGGGGTTTAGTCAGGGTGGGCTTTCTAGAGGCCATTCATGTGGTCCCCAGGGGCTGGCTGTGAGGAGAGCAAGTGGGGAGGATGGAGGTGTCCAGCAGGCATGGGGCCAGGGGGTGGGAGACTCAGATGCAGACCGCAGTGGGTGGCATAGATTATGTAGGTCCTTAAGACCTGCTGTGGCTCCTAGAGAAGGGATGCCATGAACCAGGGGTGGGGAGTTCTGTCCCTGGCACTCCTCACCCCACAGGCCTGAACTTCCCCAAAGGACTACTTGGATTTGGTCCCCCTGCCCTGGGCAGAAGCCTTGGGGCCTCCTTGGCACTCTACAGCTGAACCTCAACCCACTGCTTCAGCCTCTCACTGCCCAGGCCGGCAGGAGGAAGCTCCTCAGGCTCCCTCTGCTGGTGGTCCTCCTTCTGATGCCTCGTGGTCCTCTACCCATCTGTTCTCCAGCTTCTGGGGCCAGGCATTTCCCTGTGGGGCATGTATTACCTGGTGGGGCTCCAGCATCTGGGCGTGTGCCATGAGCAGACTGTAACCAGCTGGAGAGTCTGTGCCATGTCTTGGTCACATTTGTGTCCTCCATGGCACCCCTCCAGATCTGCCACATACAAGTGGTGCTCAATAAACTTTTAATGGAATTGGATCAGCCCTCCTGCTCATTCTCCTCTGCCCTTCTAGGGTTGCCCTGTGGTGGGGCCATTGGAAATGGTTCTGTCTTAGCTATTCTCTGTCCTCCAGTCTCTGTGGGTCACAAAGGAGCCCAGCCCTCAACCTCTGCTATCTGGTCGTTCACTCATAGCCAATGACTTTCCCGGTGGTGCCTGGTCTTCCTCGGGGTATGTGTGTGTGTTGTGGGGCGGGGTGGTTTCCACCCTGCTGAAGGTAGGCTTCTCCTGAAACAGTGTCCTTGTGGGGTCAATTTTTTTCCCCTGAACCCAACCACGTGCAGACTGGTCTGTGCAAGGATGTTTTCTCTCTTCCCAGACATTGATGAATGCTTAAGCTCCTCTTGCGAGGGCCAGTGCGTGAACACGGAAGGCGGGTTTGTGTGTGAGTGTGGGCCAGGCATGCAGCTGGCTGCCGACCGCCACAGCTGCCAAGGTGAGTGGCCCAGAGACAGGTAATACCACCACGGCCAGGCTCTGAGTCGAAGGCGTGGCCCCACCCAGCCCAACAGGTGCACTCCATGCATTACTGCATTTCATGGTCCTCTGTGGGCAATACTGTTATCATCTGTACTTTACTGACTGGGAAACTGGGGCTCACGCAAGGCCATCCCAGGAGGAAGCACTGGAGTCATCTTGAATCCTGGCATGTCCAGCCCCTGCTCTGAACTGGTGCTGCAGGGTGGTGGGATACAGCCAGAGATGCTGAGGGGAGAGCCAAGGACAGGATGGAGGAGGCCACTGAGGTGAGGGAGGTTCCATGGAAGGGATATGCCTGCTGCAGTCCATCACCTGCTGCCTTCATTAGCTCCACCTGCCCCGGTGGCTGAGCTGCCTGGGTCTGGTGGGGAGGGCAGAATTAGGTTGGGGTGAGGGGTAAATGCTGGGGGAGCCTGGGAAAGAGAAGGAGTCTGCTCCTGAGTGAGGAGGATGAGGGAGATCTTTTAATATAATTACCTATCCCTTTAAGATGACTTTTACTTACAGAGGAAGCATTCTCTCTTGAGGCAGATAAGGAAAAAGATTCCCTATGAATCTGGTATTATTTTCTATTGTTTGAAATAGTCATAAATTGTAAAATACATTTTAAAAGTTGCTACCTCCAGGCCCTTTAAGCCTGGTATCTTAGTTTGCTTGGGCTGCTATCACAAAATCCCACAGAATGGGCCAATTACACAACAGAATTTATTCTAGTGGTTCTGAAATCCCAAAAGTCTGAGGTCAAGGTGCCAGGCCATTCTCTTTCAGGCCCCCCCTTCCTGGCTTGTGGACAGTCGCCTTCTTGCTGTGTTTTCAAGGGGAGAGAGAGTAAGCTCTGATGGCTCTTCTTATAAGGGCACTACTCCCATTATGCGGAATCCCCCTTCGTGACGTCATCTAAACCGAATCACTAATAAATAAATAAACAAACCCAATCACTGCCCAAAGGCTCCCCCCCCCCATCACATTAGGGGTTAGGACTTGAACATATTCACCCCGCACCTGGTTATTACTGCTCTGATGCATGCCCTCCTTGCCTGTCCCCACGATATGTCCATACACACATATGTACTCACAGAGACAGGATGAGTAGCTGACAGTTGCATCATGCCAACCACTTTACGTGCATGTTCTCATTTCCTTCTCAGACTGATCTTGTGAGACTGCTACTGTTTATTTACACTTTCCTGATTAGAGAAATTAAGTAACTTGCCCAAGATCATGTTAGAGTTGGGGGTTTGAATCCAGTTGTTCCTCTGCTTGCTATCTTCTTCTCAGCAATGGAGCTGATATGGAGATCTCTCCGTATCAGGGTAAACAGACCTGCCTTGCTCTTTTTAAAATGCCGCCTGGTGCTCTGCAGCACAAATATCCCATAGTGTACTAACTCTTCTCTTGTTGATGGACATAGAGATTATTTCCAGTTTTTCACGATTTCAAACAGTGGCATGGGGAAGCTTTGACAAGGAGGTGCTATGCAAGCTGAGTTTTGAGGTATAAGAGTTTTCCCCCAGACAAGATGGACAGGCATTCTGGGCAGACAAAAGAACATGGGCAAAGAGGGAGGCCCACAAGGACATGGTGCATTTGCAAGATGGCTGAACAAAGGTGAGGGAGAGGGAAGGATGTGGGAAAGGCTGCCCAGGGCTTGTGAGCTGTGGGGTGGCATTGGCGTCTGCGAGAGCAGGGAGTGGCCTGGATGTTTGGTCAGAATATCCCGGATGCAGTGTAGTGGATGGCTTGGGAGGAGCGCAAGGAGAGGCACCAGGCCATTTTTCTTCTCCAGATCAGAGAGGCAAAGGAAGCCCAGGCTGGGGTAGGAGAGTGAGGATGGAGAGAAGAGGGCTGGTCCAGGGAGGATTTCGTTAATATGCGGAATGTGGGTGGTGAGAAAGAGAGGGTTTAGGAGGGTCCCCCACAGGGATCTCTGGGTGGCGCAGCGGTTTGGCGCCTGCCTTTGGCCCAGGGCGCGATCCTGGAGACCCAGGATCGAATCCCACGTCGGGCTCCCGGTGCATGGAGCCTGCTTCTCCCTCTGCCTATGTCTCTGCCTCTCTCTCTCTCTCTCTCTCTGTGACTATCAGAAATAAATAAAAAATTAAAAAAAAAAAAGTTTTAAAAAAAGGAGGGTCCCCCACAGCCCTGAGTGGGAGGGATGGCAACAGAAGAAGAGGGGAGCACACAGTTCTGACGCTCCATGGGGAAATGAGCTGCAGTCTTGCCCTGGTCCCTTGCAGACACTGACGAATGCCTTGGGACCCCCTGTCAGCAGAGATGCAAAAACAGCGTAGGCAGCTACAGGTGTTCCTGTAGACCTGGCTTCCATCTCCATGGCAACCAGCATTCCTGTGTAGGTAAGGTGGGGGGACCCTGTTGTCTTCATACTTAGGCTGCCCATCAGAAGGATGGGCAGGGCGAGCCCAGGGACAGGGAAAGGCCAGCGGTCTGGACCTCCTGGCCGCCTGGAGCCTGTAAGCACTTGAGCCTTTGCTCAGAGCCTGCCTTTCCCTGGGGTTGGCGTGGCTCCTCATGTAAGACCCTGTCTTGGACTTTTCCTGGCCACATGCCACTTTCATCCTGTTATGTTTCTCTTCTACCCCTCTCCCAGATACACCCCAAGGATTCCTCTCTGCTCACCCATTTTCTTGGCTGCCTTTGCTCCCCTTGGTAAATAAAGCATGTTATGTCTTGGTTCCTCTGGTTTAGAAGGAGACCCCTGTTTTCTTAGCCCATTAGCAGAAATTTCCAGAAAGGGATTGGCATGTTTGGCTTAAGCTTGGCTCATGAGTTGAAGGTGGGGGTCCCATGGGCCTGAAAACAGACCTTGTTCTGGCGGAGTTTGGTATTTGTTCCACAGTCTACGTTGACTAGTGCAGTGATTCTTGAGACTCTTTTTCAGAGGGGGCCACACTATCCCCTACTTACACGTGGGAAGGTGGAAGGTTTGGAGATGAGATTCCCAGCAGGGCTCATCCCCACCAGCGAGCAGGTAACCATCCCTTAGTAGTGCTGGGAGATGAGTCCCTGGTGCATCCGTTAAATGCCAACTGGGTGTATGAACCTTCCAAGGGAACCAGCCGTAGATTTCAGCCCCTCTTAGACATCTGAGTCACGTCCCATACCCTGAGGCAGGGATGGACCCTATAAGAACATGGCGAGGAGACTGCCCCAGGCTTCTGGGCTCAGGGATGGAGAAAAAAGGGGTCGGCAGCCCCAACAAGGCAGCTGTTGGCAGCGAAGCTCTCTTACAGATGTAAACGAGTGTCGGAGGCCACTGGAAAGGCGAGTCTGTCACCACTCCTGCCATAACACCGTGGGCAGCTTCTTGTGTACATGCCGACCTGGCTTCAGGCTCCGAGCTGACCGCGTGTCCTGTGAAGGTGAGCAACCAGCCTGCCGTCCTGGCCCCTGGCCCCAGGCCCTGCCCCGACAACAGGCCCCACCCCGGCCCACCCTGTGCCCACTCCCGCCTTCTTCCTTTTCCATGGTTCTTTTTCAATTCATCTTGTTGTTTCCAACTCATCACTTTCTCACTTCCTCTTCCACTTTTTTTATCCATTCGTCATCCTTTGTCATTTTACTGTTTCCCTAACCCTTTTGTTTTCTTTCAAATGGTAAAAAGGAAAAACAAATGATAGAGGAGCATGTGACTGGCAGGACTCCTAGGAACCTGGGCTCCCAGGGACACTTAGGACAATGTGGTGTCAGCTCACTGCCATCCATCAGTGGTGTGCCTGTTAACATGCATATAAGGTCATCTAGATACTGAACGTGTTCTTTCTAGTTCATGGCAAGCTTTCCCCAGGCTGTTCCTTCATCCCAGGCCTTAGCATCCCCTCCTGGGAAGCCACCTCTGGGTGAGCAGCAGGGGACCTACTCCCAACTTGTCATTGGGCTGGCTCTTGTGGTGTTGTTCCATCCACCTTGTGTGATCATCACTGTGGCCCTCCCTGTGGTCTTGGGTCAAACAGGTGGTATTAGACCCGTTTTGCTGCTGAAGAACCTGGCCCAGAGACGTTCAGTGATTGGTGGTGGAGGAGCTTTGTTCAGACACCCCCCCGCCCCCACCCCTGTCTTGCCTCCTGCCTCCACTGCCTCCCTCAAGAGACACCTGTGCTTCTGTTTCAGCTTTTTCGAAAGCCGCTCTAGCCCCATCGGCCATCCTGCAGCCCCTGCAGCACCCACCCAAGATGCTTCTGCTGCTTCCAGAGGCAGGCCGGCCTGCCCTCTTTCCTGGACACAGTCCCCCTTCTGGGGCTCCGGGGCCCCGAACTGGGGTCAGGACCACCAGTCTGCCTTCTCCCACCCCTGTACCATTCACGTCCTTGTCCTCTGCCCCAACTCAGCTGCCGGCCACCCTGGTGCCTATCCCTATACCTAGTGCCTCCCTCCCGGGGACCCTCGGGCCTCCCTCACAACTACAGGAGGTGACCCCGTCCTTGCCCAGGGGCCTAGCAGCCACACAGATGGCACCAAGGTCCTCTGCCTGCTGGCACCTGGGAGCCATGTATGAATCAGGGAGCCACTGGACAGAGCCTGGATGTTTCCAGTGCTGGTGCCAGGTAGGTGGGAGAGACCCTGGGGGTGCCCTGGTCTGGCATCCAGGACCTTGTGATGGCTAGAACTCCTGCCTCTGCTTGCAGAATGGGGAGGTGACCTGTGAAAAGGTGACGTGTGAAGCTGCTTGCTCCCACCCGATTCCCTCTGAAGATGGGGGGTGCTGTCCGTCGTGTGCAGGTGGGAGCTGGTCTGGGGAAGGCTGTGAGTTCCCCACATGGTCCTACTTCTTCACTTCCCTAGTCCTTCTGTGGCTGAAAGACTGTTCTCCAATTTTTGGGTACATTAGAATCACCTGAAGGGTAATTCCTGGGCCTCACCCCCAGAGCTTCTGATTTATCAGGTATGGGCAGGGCCTAGGAATTTGTATTTCTAACAAGATCCCAGGTGATGCTGATGTTTTGGTCCAGGAACCACACTTTGAGAACCACTGGTCTATGCTGTGATATCCCTCAGGGGAACTTTTCATCATCTGTGGATTCTCTTTGAGCTTCATTCATTCATTCATTGAGTTTCTCCAGATCAACCCAGTGGTCCCCGTCCCCTCCCCCATCTCCCCTCCTACAGCCAGAGGAATAGTTCTTTGTAAATTCTGTCCCCCTTTCCAATTTACTCCTATAATCTGCTTACAATAAAGACCCTGCATCTTAACGAGTCCTTGGATAGAGCTTCTCAAAACTTGCTCTTCACAGGAATCCCTGGGATCTTATTAAGACACAACTTCCATTCAGTAGATCTGGGAAGGGGCCTAAACTTCTGTGTTCTCTGAAGCTCCTGGTGATAAGATGCTGAGGCTGCTGCAGGTGGAGCAGCAGCAAAGACATGTTCCAAAGGGTTAGAATGAGAATAGACTTAATGATAATCATGACCTTTTACCATGTTCCCACTATGTCCTGAGCCCTGAATGTGAATGCCTAGGCACCTTACATCTGAGGCTGTGGGTCTTCCCAAGGTCCCTGAAGGGCACATGGTGGTTTTTCCATTTCACAATAAAAACAACTGAGTCCATAGAGGTTAAGTGACATACCCAAGGTCACTCAGGTAACGGAATGGACAGACCGGGGTTTGGAACCCAGGGATGCCTGACTGGCCTTCCTGCCTTATGGGAATAAAAATGCCATGTTCTCAATAGAGTTCTGGGTTTACAGACATGAATGGGACCCTCTCCTAGGCCATATTCTGTGAGTATCTCCTGCTTACTTCTCCATGGGTCCTAGGACCACACAGTCCTGGGTATCTAGATCTGCCACTCCTGGGCATCCAGGCCGGTGAGAGAAGATTCTAGGTACATTATGCCTGGAAGAGTAATGAGACCTCAGGCTTCCTCTACTTTGAAGATGTCTAAGGCCTCCACTCCTGTTTGTCTTTCAAAGGCTGTTTTCATAGTGGCGTCATTCGAGCCGAAGGGGACGTGTTTTCCCCTCCCAACGAGAACTGCACTGTCTGTGTCTGCCTGGTGAGCATCACAAGAGCCTCAAGGCCTTGCGGGTATTTTCCTAACCATTTGGGGGTTTTAGAGGAAGAGGGAAACATCCGATGTTAAAGGTGAGCTTGTCAAATGGAGGAAGAGTTCCCAGGTTGTGAATTTTGGTCGGAACCTGTCACATTTAAAGGCATGGGGGTCTGAGGAGCCAGGAGCCAGCAGGCAAACAGGATCCATCCATCTAGGGAGGGGAGGGGATGAAACTCCCTCGGAAACTTCCCACCAGGGAGGCTGTTTTCCTCTCCAGGCAAAATATTTGCCAGCACAAAGGTATCCACATTTGGGAGGGAGGAGGCTTATTACCAGACTCAGCTTATTAAGAGGATTATTTTGCTGTGGCAAATTCGTTTCTCTAAGAGTAGTTATTAAGCACCTACTGTGTTCCGGACACTGCCAGGTGCTGTCACACAGATTCGACTAGGAGTACTTGGTGAGTTCCAGGCTCAGGGCTTGGGGCTTTTCTTCTGTTGCCTCACCCGAGGCTCCTGGCAGCTCCTCTGGGTCAGCTTTCCTGGCCCTGTTCTACAGAGGAAAAGACCAAGGCATGAGCTGGGATGTGAACCGGGGTCTGTCTGCGTCCATGGCCTGGGCTCTGTCCACCACTCCTCACTGCCATCCTCTTGACTGTCACTGGCCTGGTGGTGACAGCAGAGGCCGCAGGACAGGGGGTAGGGCACATAGACAGCAAGCGCCGCCCTGTACCGAGGTCCCCTTGGGTGCCACACATGGGGACCCATGTGCAGTGGCTGAGCACTTTCATGGATCCTGTTGTAGCACGTATCTTCAGCAATCCCCGATGGAAGGGTCGTTTCCAGCTCATCTTACAGATAGGGAGACCGAGGCTCAGTGAGCTGACGAACATTGGCCAGAATCCCAGGACTCATTAGTGAAGGAGCAAACACTATAGCTCAGCTCTGGCTGGCTTGGGGGCTGGTGGGAGGGGGAGAGGAGTTTGCCTTAACTTTAAATTTTAAAGCTTACCTTTTTTTTTTTTTAAGATTTTATTTATTTATTTATTTATTTATTTATTTATTTATTTATTTGAGAGAGAGAGAGAGTGAGTGAGAGAGCACAAGCATGGGGAGTGGCAGGCAGAGGCAGAGGGAGAAGCAGGCTCCCTGTGGAGCAGGGAGCCCAATGCAGGGCTCCATCCCAGGACCCTGGGATCAGGACCTGATCTGAAGGCAGATGTTTAACCTGCTGAGCCACCCAGGTGCACTTAAAATCTGGTCTTAAATTTAATTCTTTGAATAGCCAGTAGAGTCACCTGGTTCAAAACTCGGATGCACAGGGAAGTGGTGGAGCAATCTCTGTTCACCTCTCCCTGGCATCCTTCCAGAGCTTCTGTTATGCTTTAGGAGGATGTAACGCTAGCGCCTGGGTCCCTGCACACTGTCCTTGTGTCACCATGGTGGCATTCAGCAGTCTGGGATGGCTTCCATTAGGAGGCGTTGGTGTTGCACAGGAGACCTGAGGGATGGTGTGAAGTAGGGAATGAGCTGATGGGGTGTAGGACCTAGTTCTCCTCCTCCCCACCTCTGCCCCCACCCACCACCATGTCTCCCTCCTCAGGCAGGAAATGTGTCCTGCATCTCCCCAGAGTGTCCTCCGGGCCCCTGTCAGACCTCCCTGAAGTCAGATTGCTGTACTTGTGTTCCAGGTCAGTGACTCTTCGGGCTTTGGGTGGGAGGATTTTGCTTTTTGGTGTGATTTTGGGAGCAGGGTGAGTGGAGCAGAGGAAGGAGATTGATTTTTGCTTCGGAAACTCAGATCAAGCGAAACATTTCAAAGTGCCAGTTTAAGTGAGCACCTACTATGTACACAGTTGTTTGGAAGCTTGATTGGGCTCCCAGCCCAGCCAGTGCCCTGCCCCCCCTTCCACACAGCCAGGAAGGGCTATGAGTCCACTCCTGGCATGGCTCTGTCTTGAGACTGGGAGGGCATCTCCCTTTCCCCACTAACGAGTTTGTCCTTTGTTTAAAATGTGGTTCTCTTTTCCTGGGATGACCTCATCATCATCATGAATGTTCCCTGATGGCTCTGTGCTGTTGCCTGCCAGCCCTTGATCTCACTGCATTTGTGTGGCTCAGCCTTGAGGGAGTACTATTCACAGCCCCATTTTATAGATGACCAAACCAAGGCTCACTGAGGTCAGTGATGACTGCCCAGTAAATACCAGAACAGAACTTGAAATCAAGCCTCCTAATTACAAAACTGGTGTTCTTTAAACAAAAAATGCTTTTCTTAACCTTTAAATATTATTTTTAGCTAAGACGTTTTTTTTTTTTTTTTTTTTTTTTTTTTTTTTTTTTTGCTAAGACGTTTTTTAATAGTAATATACTGCCTATGAAGTAGGAACTGTTATCATCTCTTATCAACCCCAATCTACAGATGGGAAGACTGAGGCTTAGAGAAATTGAGTATGTTGCCCCAAATCTGTCCCTAGTGAGTTGTGTAGCTGGTATTTGAACCCAGGGGCGTCTGACTAAGCCAGCTTTCGGGCTGTTTTATTGGAGTGGGGTTGGAGAGGAGATCTTCAGATGAGAGGCTTTCACTGATTCCTCCCAGCCTCGAGGGGTGGCATAGGTCCCAGTCCTTGCCTTAGGTATCTGGGGCAGTCTTTTTTCATTTCTGCTTTTCTCTTACTCTTTAGTTATTTGGAGAGTCCCCTCCCTTTTTTTGGGTAAGGACATTATTTTACATGTGATTCATTCTCCATCAGTTTTTAAGCAACAGCTTAGTTTTCATCAAGGGTTTGGAGGGGAGTGATTGGCTCCTTGAGTGGGGCAAGCTGTGGAACATGGTGGGAATATGTTAGCTTCCCGAGGGTCCCGCTGCCCACTGTTCCCCTTTCTTTTTAGCTGCCCCAGCCCAAAGCCCCTTGAGCTGCCTCTCCCTTTCTCCTCTGCAGTGAGATGCTATTTCCACGGCCGGTGGTATGCAGACGGAGCTGTGTTCAGTGGGGGTGGTGACAAGTGTACCACCTGTGTCTGCCAGGTAAGTGGCTGCAGGAGGGGGGCCAGGCACAGGACTTCCCTAGCATGCCTTGACCAGGAGAATAGGAGCTGCCATGTGGCAGAAGGGACACTAAGGCAGCAAAGGCATTAACGGGACCTGCCTTCACCAAGGCCGGCCCACAGTCTCCTTGAAGGTCACCCTGCTGCAGAGCTTTTTATAGAGCATCTACTGTGTGCCTGGAGCAATGCTGAGTGCTGAGGACACAGCTGGACACAGGACAGCCCCAGTTCCCTCTGTTATGGCCTGTTGTAAGGGCCTAAAGATGTCCCTCTGGCTGGGGCGCAGAATGTGGGCGTCAGGCAAGAGAAGAGGCTGTAAACAGGGATGGTGCTTGGGTTGGGATCTGAGAAGCAGGGCTCAGTGCAGGATTCTCACGTAAGTGATTTTCTGAATGCTCTCAGGAGAAGCTGGCCAGGGAAGCAGGATAGGCAGGGAAGGGAGCCCGGTGAAGATCCCACAGGGAGCTCTGGAGTGAGGTGCACGGCAGAGACGGGTGTGCCCAGAGGCCAGGGAGCTGGGCATCGTCAGTTATACACATTCTCTCTGCTCCCCGGGGAGTGCAGTGCCCGGGAGGGAACCGTCCAGGTACCTGGAGGGCTCGGTCCCTGTTAACCAGAGGTAGGACTTGGGGAGGAGGGGGCCCTATAGTCTCTGCCTCAGACTAAGTCATGAAGGGCTTTGCCGGCCAGGCTGAGGGCTCTGGACCTGGCAGAGCTGCTGATGGATTTTAGGTTTGGAGCCATGTAATCACATTGGTACATGAGAACGTTCTCTGGCTGCAGAGTGAGGGCAGACTGGAGTGAGAGCAGGAGGCTATTGCAGAAGTGAGGGGAAGAGGTGTAGGAGTTGCAGCCCGGGTGGGCAGGGGCCCCCAGCTTAACTGGGCAGGGGCCCCCAGCTCAACAGACAGGACATCTCAGAACGTGCTCCCGGCCTCCCCTGCCCCTTCCTCCATCCCCTCCCTTGAGATTCTTTGTCACTTTTAGAAGGGGGACAGCAGCCAGCCAGCCTCTTCTTTAGCTTTCAGATGGCCCAGGCCCGGGTTGCTGCCCTCACTGGCCTGTGCCCTCGGTTCTCTTCCAGAATGGGGAGGTGGAATGTTCCTTCACACCATGTCCAGAACTGGACTGCCCCCGCGAGGAGTGGTGGCTGGGCCCTGGACAGTGCTGTTTTACCTGCCGGGAGTCCACACCCATGACAGGTGAGGGCCCCCAGCATCCGTGCGTGTGTGTCTGTGAGTGTGTGTGTGCCTGTGTACAAATGTATATGTTTATGGTTTTGCAGGTAAGTGTATGTTTGTGTGAGCCTGCTGTGTGTACCGGGCACGTGTGGAAGCATCTGTTCTTGGTGTGGGAGGAGGTGTGCTGTAGGTCTGGCAGGTGTTCCAGGCCTCCTTGGCACTTGTGCCCACCTGCCCTTTCTCCCTCACTGTCCCCTGGCCAGGCTGCTCTCTCGATGACAACGGGGTTGAGTTTCCGATTGGACAGATCTGGTCTCCTGGTGACCCCTGTGAGTTATGCATCTGCCAGGTGAATGGCAACCTGCATGCCTTCGGCTGCTCCCCCAGGCTGTCCCTGCCTCACCCCTGACCAGGCCCTCCTGGCCAGGCATCCCTGCTGCTCCTGAAGCTGGGCTGCCTTGGCCCGCCCTTTGTCTCCCTCCTATGCTGGCAGGTTCCATTTGTACAGAATGGGGTGTGACCCACTGCTTGTGAGGAGTCAGGGGTCCCAAGAGCAGGATTTCCCCAGGCATGGGTAACTGAAGGAGCAGGACAGCCCAAGGCTCTGGAGTTCAGGGCTTCCCTGCAATACTGCAGGGTTTCCTTCACGAGCCTGAATCTGTGGCCTCAGCTCATCTGAAGTGGATAAGGATACGGTGCACAGGTGTGAGAGTCACATGGACCCAGATGCAAACTGCAAACACAGCCACTTACCAAGAAACGCTATTGTTGCAGCTCATCATTTAAGTACACGTTGGCATTCTTTTCTGCTTTAGAAGAGCATTTAGTCCCTTGGATCTTAGAGCTTTATTTCTCAAAATGAGGTCCATGCCTGGAGCCTGCTGGACACGCAGAGTCTGGACTCAGGATCTGCATTTTAATCCCGGGTGACTCGTGTGCACATTGGTGTTAGAGAGGCACAGCCTTCAAGTGTCTCCCAGATGCAGCATTTGTTAAAAAGCCATAGACCCTTGCAAAACTTGAAAGCATTTCATCAGAGTTACAGTTGGGAGGAGGGCACATCCTCCGCCTTTCCCCTTGATGACTGATCCAGAGAACTCGTAGTATGAGAAAGCAACACAAAACCTTCATCGACGTTCAGATTCTTTGAGAAAAAAAAAAAAAAAAGAAACCATATGTGGTGCCTTTGTCTTCTGAAATAGACATTTCCGGTGGAATAGCTTTCTACAAAAATAAGATTTTATTGTACTCCATAGGTTTGGGGTGAGTGAGGGTTCCAGGGAATGGCTGAGAGAAGAATTTGGATGGGGTGGTGGTGAGCTCTGGCTGCTGCTGGAGAGGGACAGGAAGTCACAGAGACCAAAACCCCGCTCTGACCTTCCTTCTCCTTAGATAGGGGAGTTCTCATGAAAGGCTCCCACCCCCTTTCCCCCACCTCCCAGCTACATCATGGAGCCGTTTGGGCAAGCCTCAGCCAGTTTACAGCATTGCCCTTTCTTGGGGATGGTGCTAGAAGGGTGGAATGGGGCAGGGAGGCACAGGGCCTGATGTTACAGGTGGGGTCTTGGTGAAGTTCTTTCTTCCTTCAGGCAGATGGCTCAGTGAGCTGTAAGAGGACAGACTGCGTGGACTCTTGCCCTCACCCAATTCGGATCCCTGGACAGTGTTGCCCGGACTGTTCTGCAGGTGATTTTCTGCATAGCACCCCTGCTCCCCTCGGTGGGGATCCTTGGCCGCCCTCCGCCTCCCCCCCCCCCACGCATCTGGGATCACCCTACACCAGGCTCCTCCATGCAGAGGATGGGCCACACAGGCTTCATCCCCACTGCCACACAGGGCAAGCCCATTTTACAGATGAGGGCTTCAGAGATGTAAAGCAGTTTGCCCAAGGCAGGCCCTGTGCGGGTGCTGGAAGCAGATACAGAGATATGCTGAGCTTATAGCCTGGGTGTGGTGACAAAGGAACCATACCTGTGAAACAATTAGTGGGCAGCGAGAGAACATAGCAATGATACTTCATTTTTTTATATTAATTTCCTCTTTTTTCATGATTTCAGAAGTAACATTTTATTGAAGAACGTGCAGACAGCAAAAATAAAAACAATTAAAAAGGGCCCCTTATCACTTTTAGCCTCTTGGTTTGTTTTCCTAATCTCTTTTCATGAAATAAGTAGCTCTATCTCTATGTCACACATCTGTAACATGTATCCCTATCTAACAAATAACATATGAATGTTCTAAAATATGTCCCTGTTGTGCTCTCACCTGCTTTCATACTTACTAGGCTGTGATGAATGTCATCAAGGTGGCAGCACTCAGATCAGGCCTTGGCGGGCTTGGGGAAGCCAAAAGCAGAGGTGTGGGAGAATGTCCTGGAAGGTGGGGACTGGCTGTGTAGGGGTAGGGTGGGGGAGCAGAGAGGACGGCTGTGGTGCCTGGGCACTGTGTCTCCTAGTCCCTCTGACTTGATCCTGCCCGGTGAGGGGCAGAGAAGGAAATGCTCTCTTCCCTGGAAGTGGAGACACTCTGATCCTTCAGCTAAATCCAGGGAGAAAAAAAAAAGGCAGCACCCAATCCAGACCTGTGTTTTGTCCTTTCCCTAAACCCCCGGGATGACTGCCTGGGGAAGCAATTGGCCTGCCCTCTGCAATGCAGAAAACTCTCAGATCTTCACCCTTGGAAGGAGCCTGGTCACCAGCCACCTGCCTGGCTGGCGCTCACCCCCATGCTCTCTCTGGCAGGCTGTACCTACACGGGCAGAATCTTCTACAACAACCAGACGTTCCCGTCAGTGCAGGACCCGTGTCTAAGCTGCATTTGTCTGGTACGGACCACCAGACCTACCCCGTCTGTGGAAACCACCCAGGGATTGACACCAGCCCCTGGATCCAGAGCCCTCCAAGAGGAAGGTCACTCTGGTCACGGTGAAAGTTGGCTCCCTCCAGCCCTCCTCAGGGTGAATCTTTATCCAGGGCCAGAGAAATATTTTTAAACCTGCCTGGTGAAAGTCCTCTGCTTCTGGGGGCATCTTGGGGGCTCCTTGTAACTTAACGTGTGAGTGCTCCCTGAGGGTGTGGATGAGGGACTCAAGCCCAGGGTCTGTGCTGGAATCTTTAGTGTACTCACGTTACAGAGCCCGTATGGCTCTCTGCCCTTTCTTTGCAAGAGCTCAGTTAATCTTCAGGAGAATCCTATGAGGTATGTGCCACTGTCATCTCCATCTGCTAAGGTCAGAAAACTGAGTCACAGAGAGATAAAGTCATTCCTTCAAGATCATGATCAAGACTGGTCAGCTGTAGAGCCAAGAATTAAATCCTGTGTTCCTGGAAGTGCACTTTTGCCCCTAAGCCAGGCTGCCTCTCAGCCTGAAAAAGCATGTGAGATTGTTAATATCACCCAGGATTTGGAAAATGGGGTTGGGGGGGAGAGTCCCTATTGCTTATCATGATGGCGACATTTGATGCCAGTGGAGCTTCTTGGCTGGCAGTGCGTGCAGAGTGGAAAGGACAAGATCTATAGGATCAGAGAGATTCAGAGTGAGCATCTTGGCCTCTGAGTGGCCTTGTTCATTCACCTGCTTCAGGAAGCTTCAGGCTCCTTCTTTCTCCTTGGTTTTCGGTGCTCACCTTTCCTGGGTTATTCATGGATTTGGTCAGCTGGGGCCTGTTCACAGATGTGCTGCATGGGTGTGGCCAGGCCCTTGGCTTTGTGGGGTTTGCGTTCTGTCAGGAGATAGCCTCTAACTGAGTGAGCATCTCCCCCACCTATGGGGGCTCTGATGGTCACTCGGTGGTTCTGTGATGGCCCTTCCCAAGCGCCCCATCAGCTGCCCAGAACAAAGGGCTTTGTATGTTTTCTGTGTCGTGCAGCTGGGCTCAGTGGCCTGCTCCCCCGTGGACTGCCCCATCACCTGCACCTACCCCTTCCACCCTGACGGAGAGTGCTGCCCGGTGTGCAGAGGTGAGTGGGACCCGCTGCCCCACATCTGAGGCTCCTAGGCACGCCATGGCTCTCACGGCCCCATCTCCTCTGCCCTGCAGATTGCAACTATGAGGGAAGGAAGGTAGTGAATGGCCAGTTGTTCACCTTGGACGATGAGCCCTGTACCCAGTGCACGTGCCAGGTAAGCCGGGCCTGGCAAATCAGAAGCTGCCCCGCCAGGCACTGCTTCTTGCCTTCTGTCCCTTTGCAAAACTCTGAGTCCCCTTAGCCAGTGTAAGCCCATCTTCCACCTGCCTGCCCAACGTTAAATATCTGCCAGAACACCTTCAGGTTTGTGGTTTCCTTAAAGTGGCCCTGCTGTTTCAGCCTCTGTCCCTGGACCTTTCTGTGGGTGGAAGAGATGCGCAGGGGCGCTGTTTCAGGAGGGGAGATGATCTGGGCTGCCTCATGTGCGTCCTTGTGCTTCCATAGCTGGGAGAGGTGAGCTGTGAGAAGGTCCCCTGCCAACTGGCCTGCTTGGACCCCTCTGAGCCCCCTGGGGACTGCTGCTCCTCCTGCCCAGGTAAGCAGGCCTCTGGGTCCTGGAGCCTCTCCACGGGCTTCTTGCACTTTGCTCTTCTTCCCAGAAACCTAGAACTTATAAAGGGCTGGAACTGTGATACCCAAGCTCAGAAAGGGAAGGGGTTTTGCTCAAGATTACACAGCCAGCCTGTATTGAGGACAAGCCTGTGCCTGGGCTTGCTCATCCTCATCCAGTGTTCCCGATGCCACACTGTGACAAGTGTGTTTATTTGCTGTTCCTTTTCCTTCTTTACTTCTTTTCCTAATCTCTTCTGCTTTCTTCTTCTTCTATTTTTTAATTACAGTTTAGGAAATGAATCAACTTTGCAGAAAAGTGATAGCTAATATGTGAATACTCTTTAGGTGCCAGGTTCCTTTTCACAGCAGCTCCAGTCCTATTATCATCTCAGTCTTCCCAATGAGGAAGCAGAGGCACAGAGAAATGAAGTGACCTCAAGTCACACCACGGATGGGCAGTAGAGCCAGATTTAAGCCCAGAGTTGATGCTTTTATTTATTAAATATTCTATTTATTTATTCATGAGACACACACACACACACAGAGAGAGAGGGAGAGAGAGAGGTAGAGACAGAGGCAGAGGCAGAGGGAGAAGCAGTCTCCCTGTGGGGACCCCAGTGAGAGACTTGATCCCAGGAACCCGGGGTCACAACCTGAACTGAAGGCAGATGCTCAACCACTGAGGCACCCAGGTGCCCCAAGTTGATGCTTTCAGCTCCTACATTGTCTTTTTTTTTTCTTCCTACATTGTCTTGACCATTGTCTTCGTCTTGTCTTTCTCCATCATGAGTGGCCACGCACGTTCATCTTTTGGCAGAGGTATAAATAGGATGTGGACAACTTGCTGTAACATGTGGTTTTGAAGTACTGACAGAGGCCCACGGCCACCTGTTGTCAAAAGCTCCCATTTAGTCTGGTTTGCTCACCCATTAACTTTTAAGCTGACATTTAGGTAGTTTCTTGCTTCTTCTTTTTCCATCCATAATGGACCTACTGTGAGAAATCTTGGGTCAGACAACTTATTTTTCAATATTTATGGGTTGCATTGGGGCCCTGTGGTTAGCAGGTGGAGTACTGGGTCGTGGGGTGTTGGGAGCTGTGTGGGACCTCCTTAAGCATGACAGTGCATCACCAGATGGGGCTCCTTGGAAACAGGAAACTCCCCCTGATGTAGCTGGCTCCTCATACTCCTGCCAATTCTGTGCTTTGTGTCTTGAGTTTAATTTTTCTGATTTAACATGTCCATAATTTACCTTCATTGTGGCTATTTTGTACTTTTTTAAAAAAGATTTTATTTATTTATTCATGAGAGACACACAGAGAGAGAGGCAGAGACACAGGCAGAAGGAAAAGCAGGCTCCATGTAGGGAGCCTGAGGTGGGACTCGATCCCGGGTCTCCAGGATCACACCCTGGGCTGAAGGCAATGCTAAACCGCTGAGCCACCCGGGCTGCCCTCCTTTTGGTAATTAATAAAAGTAATAGTTTTCTTGAGGTATAATTCACATACCACGCAACTCACAGGCTTGGAGTGTACAATCCAGTGCCTTCAGTATATGCAGAGTTGGGTGACCATTCTTGGGATGATTTTAGAAATATAAAATCATTCTAGGTTTCCTGGGCTTGACATCCTCTGTCTCCTCCTGACCATACCTTTCTCCAGTACTCTTCCTTCGTGCTTATTCCCTCTCCATGTTCTCTTTGCTTAGGTTCTTCCTTTGTTTGTTCTCCTCCCATGCATCAAGCCCTTAATGATGTGCCAGCTCCAGGCTGAGACTTAAAAAAGAATTTTTTTTTTCCAATGGACTTTATTTTCGAGAGCAGTTTTGGATTCCCAGCAAAAGTGAGAAGGTCCAGCTTTCCCCTATGATCAACGTCCTGCACTAGATAGGATGTTTGTTACAATCAATGAGCCTCCCACACTGACACCTGGTTATCACCCAAAGTCCCCTGTTAACATCCAGGTTTAGGCTGAGATTCCCATGCACCATTCATTCAATGCTTGGAGTGGCCCTGCAGGTCCTTATGATGCCCATTTTACAGAAGAGGACGCAGGAGCCCAGCAGAGTTCCATGCCTTATGCCAGGTCACATGGCCAATGCCCAGCAGAGTGACTTTGGCGGACTGCCTTCCTCTGCTCATGGTTCCTTTCTGGTGTTCCCTGGAGGCAGGGGCCAGCTGGTCCTGGCCAGGGCAGAGAGACCTCTGTCCCCAGTGCAGCTCATCCCAGAGCTGCCTTGGCCATCTGACAGAGCCACTGTGCATCTTGTTTCCTCTGCCTCTCTCTAGATTCCCTGGAAAGAAAGGCAGTGGAGGTGGGCAAAGCAGCTCGGAGCCCCCGTGGAGATGCAGAGGCCCCGGTCAACTGTAGCTCGTGCCCGGGCACCCCAGCAGCGTTGGCTCAGAAGCCAGTGTTTCGTGTCCTCCAACTTCTCAGGACGAACCTGTCTGACGCACAGACTTCACCCATGAGCCCCTCAGGAGCCCACACCTCACCCTCATCCCCTTTGGGACCCAGGGGCACATTCCCAGGGGACCCTGGGGCCTCCCAGCCCTCACTAGGGCCTTTGATCCCTCCACGAGCCTCCAGTCTACCTCCAGTCTCTCCTAGGGCTCCTGGGCCTCCTCCTGTTACTCCAGAGCCCTCATCCTCCTTCTCTGGGGCCCAGACACTGACCAGAAGGCCTTCTTCACCTGCTGTTGTCCTGACTGAAGCTTCAGTCCATTCCATGAGGGCCCCCAGCCCCTCAGAGACCCCTGCCATTCTCCTCAGGCCTCGCAGACTCTCTCCTGCCACTGCCAGACTCTCTGCAGCCCTTGTAGCCTCGGCCACCTCCAGCCCTCAGTGGACTGCTGCGGGGACCTCACGGGAGGAGGAGTCCCCCAGCTAAGCAGCCTCCAGATCAGGACTCTGCGTGGGACACGCCGGACAGAGAAAACTGCCAGCGGTCCTGGGGCTGGTAGGGAGGCTCTGGGGCATGGCTGGTAGAGACCAGGGGGCTCGCTTCTGCATGGCCCCATGCAGCCTTGTCCCCAAGAAGCATTTGGAATGTGCTGTGAGAAGAGGCAATCGGCCCTCTCCACGATCAGGATCCTCCTTGGACACTGCGGCCAGCCTTTGGAAGAAGGTCTGGGCCACTGAGGATCCTGCTCAAGAGGAGGAGAGCCTGAGAGGACCCAGGATTCCCCTGGGCTTGTGCCACCAGCCATCATGTGTCCCTCCCTGAGGTTCCCTGATTAAAGGCTGTCTCAGTCTCCCCCAGGCTACCCTGCTCATTCACTTCTCACCTTCGGAGAGGTGGGGCAACTTCACTCCGAACCCCAGGTGGTAAATTAGCACCGCAGCTCAACCCCCCATTCCCAGCTTGGGAGAAAAACTCGCACCTGAACTGGAGTGGGGTGGGCTCCTGTGGAGGCACCTGCTACCTTTGATGCTGGGGGGCTCTCCAGGGAAATAGGAAAAGCTGGACAGAGGAGGCTTTGCAGGTTGGGTTCCTTGGGTGGGGGGTTGTATGGGACAGGAGCCGACAGTTCCTGAGGGCACCCTCTCAGCAGTGGCCCCTGTGGGTGGAAGGCAGGGAGTGCAGCAGCGAGGGAGGATCGCAAGCCTCAGCCAACCCCCTTGGAAGCTAGGATGGCCCCTCAGAGTAGTCCTGAGTAGTCCTGAGTTGGCTCTGTGGCCACACCCCCACCCCTTGCCCCGTGCTGACCGGTAATTCTAACTGGGCTGCCTCAGGAAAGGGGCGTGACCGTGGCAGGGCAGCTCCCTTCAGCCCAGGTTGTTCCCTAGAGGCCCAAGGCCGAGACCTATTAGCCGACAGCCTACCCAGCAGCTGGGAAAATAAGTCAGTCCCAAAGAAAAAAATCGTCAGTCCAAAGGGTGGGGGGATCTGGGCGGTGGAGCCCACTTCACACAACAGATGGAAAGAGGATAGTGCTATTGTTAATGGGGGCTGGATGGAGACAGAAGACAGAAGGGAGCTGTGCTGTCACTGGGTCACAAGCTTGCTACCACTGAGAACCGTGTATTCTGCAACCTCCTGGGGCACAGCCCCACCGCCATTAGCCCCGCTTGCCCCCTTCCCCACTAGCTCTTCTCTGCCCTGCCACTCAGCACATGCCAGGGTGAAGCATCCGCCCAGACACCAGTGAGCCTGTGAGGTCCTAATCCCAGCGTGGTGGCAGGAACAATGAATTTCTAGTTAGGAGCATGGAAACCCAAGCCTTGAGAGATGCAGAGGACTTAGAGATCTTTTTGTCCAGTAAGACCTAAGGTGTGTGGTGTAGAGTGAGAGCTGGGATGCCCTTCAGCTGTGACCAGCCCAGGGACCTTAGTTCTGTCTGGCTCCCTCACCTCTGTAGTGGGGATCCTAACCCTCCCGCCATAGAGAGCCGTGACAATGGCATGCACTAGTGCCTTCATATGTCTCAGTGGTTTATGCTTGCAATCCAGGGCAGCCTGCCCACCTCACCATGCCCTCTGGGATCTAATTTCAGGATGGAAGTGTGAAATATTGGCTGCCTCCATGTTGTCACCTCTTGAACAACCCAGCTGTCAATGTGGTAGTGGCTGAGAGTCAGTGCCAATTTTCTCATTGCTATTCAGTAAAGTGCAGTTTGAGTTTTAATACCAGTTTCCCTCTCTCTTGAGCTTGAGAAAATCATGTTTATTTTGAATGATAAAAAAAAAAAGAAAAACAAAGGACAGGACAACAGCTGTAAACGTTTTCCCGAAGGTGGTCCAAGTATAAAAAACACTTACTAGACTTCCTCTCCCCAATTACAGTGGGGACCACAGAGGCCCAGAAGAAGTGCCCTAAGGTTGCGTGGATGGTGAAGTCTGAACTGGGAGGAGAGCCCTGTTTCTCTGACTGCCAGCTTGGGCTTTGTCTCTTCACATCACTCCTGGTTGGATTCTTCTGGTGGGGTTTCAGAGATAGTTTATGGTAGGGCAGTGTGATTACCCTATTTTGGTTTGGGCTCCCCCAAGAGCAGACCAGAGATAAATATCTGGGGGAGAGTCATTGCCCTGGAAAGTGATCCCAGGGAGCACGGTGAGGGAGGGGGCGGTGAGATAGAGACAGGAAGAAAATCAATCACCGGGTGTTAAAGTGTGGGTCACGTCTGTGGGCAGTTGGTACCCAGTCCTTCTGCAGACCCTCTGGGAGACCATGTAGCGCATGCCTCAGAATTGTCCTCCCAAGGGCCTGAGGATGCCACACTCTTGTCCCTCTCTTGCTCCCAGGCTGTTGGCTCTCCAGTATGCCCAGTTGCCTGGGGCTGAGGATGGAGCTTGTCTCCTTTCCACTGGTTTCCAGCCACATGCAGGCACTCAGGGAAGAGGTGAGGGAGCTGTCTGCAGAGGGCCTCCAGGCTGGCCAAGACCCTCACTACCTCACACTGTGATCAGTGTAGTCCCTTCCCAGGTCACCTGGGCAGGGGCGGGGTGGGCGTCAGAGCTGTCCTCCTTCAGGCAGGGTTGATGTGACATGTTGGGAAGCCCAGTGGGATCCAACTTGGGAGGAACATGTCCAGCCTGAAAGAAGCCTCAGGATGCTAGGGCCCCTGTCCAGGGCTCACTGGCTGCAGCAGGCTGGGGGACTGCCTTCAAGACCCTAGGATGGGTGAGGGCTGCTTTTAACGAATGGGAGGAGCTGGTCTGAATTCTCCCAGCTGGTCTGAATTCTCAGACTTCAACACTCAGGTGTTTGGTTTTGGGTGAACACACCCTTCAATGTCCCTTACTTGGGATTCCACACTTAGGGAATTTTCTGAGAAGCAGTAGAGGATGTGGAAGACAGGATCCTGGAAGCCCGGTCTGTGATCCAGTTTCACTGGGCATAGGGAGTTCTCCAGACCCCATTCAAGAGACCTGATTTTGGAGATTTTTAGATCAACAGGTTCAAGGACAAACTATAGTAGGTTTCAAATTAGGATAACTCAGAGGTTGAAGAGTACCTTCCCTTTATACATAAATATATATGTATATACATATATATATGTGTGTGTGTATATATACATATATATGTATACATATATTTAGAGAGGGGTGGGGGAAGTGGGGGAGAGAGAGACAGAACCTTAAGCAGGCTCAACACTCAGTGTAGAGCCTGACACAGGGCTCAATCTCATGACCCTGAGATCATGACCTGAGCCAAAACTAAGAGTCAGAGGCTTAATAGACCAAGCCACCTAGATGTCCTCCCTTAACTTATTTCTAATGTGTAATACGCTTATGTCATGTAAAATTGTGTTCAGTGAGACCTCTCCCCCATCCCATGTCTACCCTGCTCCCCCTCTTCTTCCTTTTACGGTTTCTGATTCTGGATGTCCTTTTTCAGTTCCCATATCTAAGTGCGAGCAAATCTTATTTTCTTTCTTTGTAATGCAAAGATAGCATTGTATGAGCCTGGTAGTCACCTGTTTGTGTGTGTGTATTCATTTCATCTAACAATCTCTTCTCAAGAGCTTTCCCAGTACCTGGTGAGCACACTTATTTTTAATCCTAGTCTGCTTAACCATCCCCCCATGGGTGGACATTTGGGTCGTTTCAAATCTTGCTCTTACAGAGAAGATGCTACAAAAATAACCTCGTACTTATATCATTCAGCACGTGTGCAAGTGTATGGCTTTAAGATAAATTCCCAGAGGTGAAGTCATTGGGCCGGAAGGCATATGCATTTCTTTTTTTTTTTTTTTTTGATTTTTATTTATTTATGATAATCACACAGAATGAGAGAGAGAGAAGCAGAGACATAGGCAGAGGGAGAAGCAGGCTCCATGCACCGGGAGCCTGACGGATTCGATCCCGGGTCTCCAGGATCGCGCCCTGGGCCAAAGGCAGGCGCCAAACCGCTGCGCCACCCAGGGATCCCGGCATATGCATTTCTAACATTGATAAATATTGCCAAATGGCGCTCCTTAGGAGCTGTACCAGTTTCTGCTCTCACCAGCACTGCATGAGACCCTCCGTGCCTGAGGAGGGTGGAGCAGAGATTGCAGAGATGAAAATACACTCCTGGACAAGTGTGAAGGGGAAGGATGGACCAAGCTGTGCTTAGACCCCCGAGGCCTGCGGGTGATGGAGAAAGATGAATAGAGGAGGAGCCCCAGACTGTAGAGTGGGAATGTGAATCTATCCTATCTATCTCGAGGGGCAGAGTGGAAAGAGTCAGATCAGACCTGTCAGCTCTGGGTTTCCCAGTCCAAATGGTCTGTTTAAAGGGGAGTCTTTTTAGATTCTGTCTGGATCCAGGAATCCCAGAGCGAGGAAAGGGAAAAGGGGCAGGGAGGGAAGGGCTGAACTGCAGCTGGTGGGGGGCGGGGGGCAGGAGCAGAGGTCTGGGAAAACAGGGCCTGCCTCCCCAGAGCCTAGCATGCTGCCTGGCTCATGGGAAGTGCTAGAGAAATGCCAGAAACACAAACACAGCAGAGCAGCAAAGACAGTGTGAAATTCCTCCTCAGAAACCTGAGAAGTCCACCTCTTTGTCTCAGGACCAAGTAGGACTGGGACAGAATGTGGGTGGAGATGGAGGCAGACCCATCTGCTGTGTCAAGCATGTCCTCAGTGAAACTAGAGCCACTTCCTTATTCCCTTTCAAAAAGTCGTCTTGAATTCATCACTGGGTGTGCAAATATTCATTGAGCACCTGCGATGTGCCAGGCCCTGCCCTTGATGCCGGGGCTTTAGCAGTGCCTGCCTTGATGGATCTAAAACAGGCAGTCCCATAGATACATGATTGCAGGGTGCGTCAAGTGCCCTAACAGATAGGGGGCCAGGCTCCACGAGAGGGTGGTGAGGGAACACTTTGCAGGTCAGTGCTGTGTGAGCTGAGATCTGCAGGATGACTTTTACTTGAAGGTCAAGAAAAGTCAGCAGGAACCCAGGCAAAGGGAACAGTGTGTACAGAGGTCCAGAGATGGGGAAGAAGTCTGGGTATTTGTGGAGGTGACAGAGGCTTGGAGGAGGGGTCAGGGTGAGAGGGGTCAAGGTGAGGTAGGGGAGGAGCTCGGGGACCAGAGCGCCCAGGGCCTGAAAGATGGATTGTCTTATTCCAAGTGCAATTGCAAGGTATTGATTGAAGGTTTTTGTTGTTGTTCTTGTTTTTAAAGATTTTTTTTTTCATGAGAGACAGAAAGAGAGGCAGAGACACAGACAGAGGGAGAAGCAGGCTCCTCACAGGGAGCCTGATGTGGAACTTTATCCTGGGACCACGCCCCCAGCCAAAGGCAGCCGCTCAACCACTGAG